CCACTAGTAGAAGTTGTTGCATTAATACATGACAATCATGAGATTTTAAACCAATTAACTTGAGATCTTTCATTGATATAAGTTTCTCGGTGTTTGATGAGTAACCTTGCGGAACTTTAATACCTTGCAAACACTCGCATAAAATTTTCTTTTCATTTTTAGATAGAGTGTGACATGCTGGAGGCAGATAAGTTATTTTTCCTTTGTCTATTGGAGCCAATTGCTTTTGTATACCCATCGCCTCCATATCAATACGGGAAGCCTTACTATCTTTATTTTTTCCTGGAATATTTAGAAGTGTGTCAATCAAACTATCACACACATTTTTCTCCACGTGCATCACATCAAGACAATGTCTAACATCAAGACTTGACCAATATGGAAGATCAAAGAAGATGGACCTCTTTTTCCATATATTTTTTGCAACTACCCCTTTTTCTTTTTCTCTCTTCCCGGAGACAACATTAATGTGTTTCCGTCACTGATAAACTTTATCCCGGTTAAAGGTTTAGGAGCCTCATCAAACTCTTGCTCTCCATTAAAAGCCTTCCGCAATCTACGATAAGGATGACCAGATTTTAGAAATTTTCGATGCCCAAGGTAAATTGTCTTTTTTTTTCTAAACTCAAGTTGGTGATAACAAGTATTATCTTCACAAATAAGACACACTTTATGTCCATTGACACTATATCCATCCAAGTTACTATAAGCGGGAAAGTCGTTGATTGTGCAAAATAACATTGCAAGCATCTTAAACTTTTCCCTGGAATATGTATCCTCAACCTCAATGCCTTCATTCCACAAGAGTCGTAAATCATCAATTAATGGACTTAGAAAAACATCTATGTCGTTACCAGGTTGTCGTGGTCTAGAAATCAACATACTTAATAGTATATACTTATGCTTCATGCACAACCAAGGAGATAGGTTGTAAATATGAGAAGAACATGCCACGAAGAATGATTAGTGCTCAGATTGCCAAAGAGGTTTATTCCATCGGTGAAAATCCCAAGCCTAAGGTTTCTTAGCTCAACTCCAAAATCCAGAAATAACGAATCAATTTTCTTCCATTGCAACGAGTCAGCTACACGGTGAATGTTTCCATCATGATTCCTTTCATCTGCATGCCATCTAAGATTCTTTGCGTCATTCGAATTAGCAAAAAGTCTCTTAAATCATGAAATTATTGGCAAGTACATAACACTTTAGCAGGAGGATGCTTCCTACTAACATTATCGTAGTCATTATCATCACCATTGTTGGCATTTTGCTTGTAACGTGACACACCACATTTCAGACATTGATACAAGTCTTCATACTCTTTCCTGTATAATACGCAATCATTAGGGAAATCATGTATTTTGATATACTCCAGATCCATTAGACAAAATATCTTCTTGGCCTCATAGCAATGATCCGATAATTTGTTATCTTCTGATAACATTTGCTTTAGTAATTCAAGTAATTCCGTGAAACTTTTATCCGACCATCCATTTTTTGCCTTCAGATTAAAAAACTTTAACACCTCTGACAATCGTGTAAAATTTTGGCATCCCTTATATAAAGGGGTGTCTTTATCACTATATATAGTATCATAAATATGAGCATTCTTAAAAGAAGATTCTACAATATCACGGAACATATCCTCTAGTTGATCTTCCATATATTCATCTTCATCCACTCTTTGAATTTGTGGTTCCCAACTTTCCTATTTATCCACCTAACCATGCCACGTATATATTATATAATTTTGACATATACCATCACAACAAAGGTGTTGGAATATTTATTCTTTTGTACCCTTATCGATATTCGTGCAAACAACACAAGGACAATAAAAGATACCATCACTGTCGGGAAGATGTTTATCATTGTATTCAAGGAATTTAAGAACTCCTTTCTCATAAACTAGACCTAATCTATTGGCTTTCATCTAAATATGATCCATAAAAACTTCTGAAGTTTATACACGTATAATAATGTGAATTACACGCCAAGATCTAACCTAAATACTAACTCGAGAATATGCAAATCTAAACCTAAAGCATATGAAAAATATACTCTCATACTGACTTGAGTATATATACAACATAAACAAAGAAAAAAGTAATGAAGATGTTTAAGAGTACTGTACTTCGAAGCTAAAAAATCAAATTAACAAAGAGGGTGAAGATTTGAGCATATACAACATAAACCAAGAAAAAATGAATGAAGATGTTGAAGAGTACCGTACTGCGAAGCTGGAGAATCAAATAAACAAAGAGGGGAAAATTTTAACATATACAACATAAACAAAGAAAAAAGAAATGAAGATGTTGAAGAGTACGATACTGCGAAGCTGAAGAATTAAATGAGCAAAGAGGGTGAAGATTTGAGCTCCAAATGAATGGATACGAATATTTGAGCCATTGTTGTCGTCCCTGGCTCGCTTGTTTACCTAGGGTGTCTTATGAAAGAAATATAAAATGAGTTTTATTTTAATTTATCAGTAAACCCTTTAATCGCGGTTGGACAAATCAATCGTAGTGGAAACTTAAGTCCTATAACAACGGTGGAGGTATTCACCGTTGTTAAATTATTTACAATTTATTTTTTAAATAATGGAAATATGTGACACACGCTTAATGTACTCTAAAAAATGGGAAAAAAATGTGATTGCTGGGAATCGAAGCGTGCTACATATCATTTTTTACTACATGTGAAAGGCAGTTGTGTCCAGATCATCATCTGAAGCTGAATATCGCGCATTAGCACAAGCAACATGTGAAGGGCAATGAATTCTTTATCTCCTGCAAGACTTTCAAGTTGAACATCCAGCTCCATTTGTGATTTATTGTGATAACAAATCAACACTTCATATAGCAGCTGCAGCGGTGAAAAATTGGAGGTTAAATCATTGATTGACTTAACTCACAAAAGCTAGAGTCACTACCGCACTTTATTGTTTCCAAAGAAAAATGAAAAAGGAGCAAATAAAACCCACAAAAATAAAGAGATAAGGGTACAAAGGTTGATTATGCAAAGGGAATGTATTAACACCTTATGCATATATAATACTCTATAGGAATCTCTTGAAACATCTGTGTTTTGGCTAAAAATAAATTGTTTGCGAAAGAGTGTGGAGAAACGAAGAATATATATATATATATATATATATATATATATATATATATATATATATATATATATATATATATATATATATATATATATATATATATATATATATATATATATATATATATATTATTTGACCTTGATTAAGAAAAATAATTCTTGTCTTTTTAATTTAATTAAAACAAGTTAAAGAAGTCAATTGCATTATCTAACCAAAAGAGTTAATTAGATAACAAATAAATAATAAAATTTAGCTAAGACTAGGTGTGAATAGGAGTGGCAAAGTGGGCGGCCCGTCCCACTTAGGCCGGTTCCGTTTAAGCCCGTATAAAAGTGGGGCGGGATGGGGCGAACAAACTTAGGCATCCGAGCTCAAAAGTCAAGTCCGCCCTATTTACTAACCAGTTGACGGTTGGCAGGTCGGCTCGTCAATTTTTTTTTTATTTTACAATTTAATTTATTACATAATTTACAAAAAAAATTGTCATTACTAAAGAAGCCGATAAAAGATATTTTTTAACAACGTATAATATAACTTCAACATGTCTTAAGTCCAAACACTTAAACAATTAAAATAGATAAAGACCAATTTCAGAAAAAACATACCGAAATAGACTCTAGCGCGATAAAAAAATGTATCAAAATAAATAAATAAAAACACATATCATCATAATCATTTTTAAAAACTAATTACCAAAAGAACCCAATTAATAATTTGCACAAGACAAACAATGATAACATTATGGTGCATAAAATATCATAATGCATAAAATAGTAGTGTACAAAATCTTAACACCTGACTTTCTCACTATTTCCGTCATATAGACTATTATGTTGACTGATTCTTTAATAGTTATATCTTAAATTTGTCACACGTATACTCTAATCGAATTCTTCATTTTCTTAAAATTAACATTTGTTTCTAAAGAAAATATGTGAGCTAATGTATTGACAACTTAATAATTCTTCATGCTATACAGTTGTTCTTGTATTTCAAGTTTTTCCAACCAATACATGTATTAGAAAGTTATATAAAGAACCTTACAATTATAATTCAATTTTTCTGTATAATAATTTAGAATGTAATTCAATCACCATAACCTAAAAGAATATTGTTGTTTTTATAGTTAAAATTGTCTTAATTCTAAGTAAAAAATAAAAAGTTATAACAAAAAGTCTGCGGGCAAAATCCACTCCGCCCTGTCGAGACGGACCAACTTAAAATATCAAACCGAAAATCACAGTCCAATCTACTAAAATAGTGGATCAAACAGATTAGACCGACGGACCTGATATGTTTTACCACCTCTAAGTGTGAAGAAAAAATGAGAGTGATGATTAATAAGAGTTTAGATCTCAATTGAATTAAATCTAATAAAACAAAACCTAATTAAATTTAAATAAAATAAAGAGTCAATAAGAATAATAAAATAAAAAATAATAAAAAAAGAAAGAAAAAAAGAAAATGTCGTATATGGGTTTTCCCTTCATTTATCTAGTACAGTATACTAAATAAAAATAAAAACATTAAGGAAAACAAATTAAGAAAACTTTAACTATGATAAAAATTAAATAGTAAATGAAGTGGAGTTAACAAATGGGCGATCTCGGTACTCAATTCAATTTTTATTAATTTTGACTTTTCTAAGATATGACCATCCATTAGGAAATGGACACGTGGCATGGAAATTTAAAGAAAAACAATATCTGTAGTTTTAGAAAAGTAGAATCATGAGAATCTCTTCTCTATTTGAACACAAAATAAATAAGGTGGAATTATACAAGATCCAAACCCTTTTTCTTATTAAAAAATAAATCAAATTTCAAATCAAGCTACACAAAGTTGAAAGCAAAATAACACAAGTATCTGTCACCGAAGTTAAATGGGGGACTCACGATCTAGGTGGTTGACAACGGCGGTAACTCCGACGGAGCAAGGAGACCACGGTGACCGGAGAATGTGGTGCGCGGATGGACGTTTCGCCGGTCTGGAGTGTGGCAGATCTGTGAACGAAGGAGCGGCGGACTGTTGTGGCCGTGGTGACGGCAAATGCGTGGCGGTACGTTGTTCCGGCCGATTTCCTCTTCTTTGCTTTCTTACGATTTGTCACTGAATCTAAAAAAAAAGAGAAAATCTTATAATAATATTGTACTATGAGAATTAAAATTATTGTTAATTTATACTTAGATTTATGAGACAACTTATTATTTTTTTTTGTTATTGTTCTCTATTGATGAGGATAATTAGAATGGTAATTGTTGGAAATCTTGGTATGATGTAAACTTGGAGTGGGAGTTGGAATAATTTATTGACATTAAATGGGCAATAAATGAGCACAAGTAAGAATTAGCATGAAAGTGAATTTTAAAAGATTCATTTTAGTCCCAAAAGTGGAAATTAATTAATATTAATATTATTATTAATTAATAGATGGTGATGTGTCATGCACAAAAGACCAAGTTTAACCATTATTGACTGGTTTTTGCTTGCCCTCCAAAAGACCAAGTCTTAACCTAATTATTCACAGGTTATTAACTGGGTCAATTCCACCTCTCCCACGATTTTCTCCCACCAGACCTGTTCCATTCAGTTGGACCTTTTCACTTATAAATTAAGTTGTTTCGGTTCATTTGGGCAGTTCCAGAATTTACTTCTACAATTCTTCTCTCTTCTCTCTCATCACTCACTTCATCTATAATTTTCTTCTCTCTTATTTTCGACTGGATCACTTCGTATCCAGATACTAAGACTGGTTAATTATCATCCGAAGGTGTCATTCTACGAACGACTAATTATAGTGCAAGTAATTGTCGTAATTGAACGGGCTGTTTTATCTTGGAGGCGTCGTCGAAACTCGACTACTTTGCATTAATATTGGCAGTACGACGAAACGTCTTAAAGAAAGTGACCTAGTACGCGACTCGTCCTGATACTTTTCCTTTGTGCCATTTTTTAAAATCCGGTTTCTACAATTTTAAGACGTTTTCATAACTGCCATGGCTACTGAGGAAATTATCGGTACTAGCGCTGCCGCTTCTGTCTCTGACAAACCATTTAAGTTTGAGGGTTCCAATTTCAAACGTTGGCAAGCTAAGATGAAATTTTTCTTAACTTTAAAGAAGGTTGCCTACGTTCTGACTGAGGATATCCCTGTTGCTCCATCTGGATCAAATGAACTAAGTAATGGTAAGTCAACCGTGGAATCAGACGGAACTTCTAAAACGTCTGACTTAGACTCCGCTGCTAAAGTTGCGGCAGATAACTTACAACTCCAAAAAGAAATCGCCTTATGGCAAGAAAATGACTACCTCTGCAAAAATCACATTCTGAACAGTCTTGCTGATGATCTCTATGATTACTACAGCAATTACAAGACTGCTAAACAGGTATGGGAGGCTCTGCAGAAGAAATATGATATTGAAGAAGCTGGTGCAAAAAAATATGTTGTCAGTCGCTACTTGAATTACAAAATGGTGGATGAAAGGTCTGTGGAAGCTCAAAGCCACGAGATACAGAAGATTGCTCATGAAATCATAACTGAAGGTATGCCCCTCAATGAACAATTTCAAATTGCTGTTATAATTGACAAGCTGCCTCCTGGTTGGAAAGATTTTAAAAACCTACTCCGACATAAAACTAAAGAATTTTCAATCGAGAGTTTGATTACCCGCCTTCGAATTGAAGAGGAAGCTCAAAGACAAGATCAGAAAGATGAAGTCTTAGTTGTTTCAAACAACAAAAAGAAATTCGGTGCGGTTTTGAAGCCTACGGGCAAACCTTTAAAGAATCAGAACCGTAATACTGTGAACCGAATTAAGAATGGGAATCCCTCTAGGGCCCCATATACTTCAATTCCTAGGCAGCAACCACCATCCCAGAGAAATGATGCTCCGGTTTTCACTTGCTACAATTATGGGAAACCGGGTCATATGGCTAAGAAATGTAAGAGCAGGCCTAAATCTGCTACTGACCCAAATGCACAGGTAAACCTGACTGATGAGCAATTCATTGCTATGATCACTGAAGTCAACATGGTTGATGGAAGCGATGGATGGTGGATAGACACTGGCGCCTCTCGCCATGTTTGTAATGATCGTGCTATGTTTAAGACATACATGAATACTGAAGATAAGAAAGTGTTGTTGGGAGATGCCCGCACCACTAATGTTGTTGGAATTGGAGATGTTGAGCTGAAGTTCACTTCAGGAAAGACCTTGATCTTGAAGGACGTCATGCACGTTCCTGAAATTAGGAAGAATCTTGTTTCTGGTTTCCTTTTAAATAAGGCTGGGTTTAGTCAAACTATAGGGGCAGACTTGTACACCATCACTTAGAATGGTATTTTTGTTGGGAAAGGGTACGCCACTGATGGCATGTTTAAGTTAAATGTTGATTTGAATAAAATTTGTCCTTCTGTTTATTTTCTGCGTGATTTTAATATTTGGCATGCTAGATTTTGTCACGTCAATAAGCGAATAATGTATAATGCAAGCAACTTAGGCCTGATCCCTAAACTAAATGTCAATGATTCAAATAAATGTGAATATTGTACTCAAGCTAAGATAATTAAGACATCGCATAAATCAATTCTAAGAGAATCTGATCCCCTAGATCTTATACACTCTGATATATGTGAATTAGATGGAACTTTGACTAGGAATGGTAAACGTTATTTTATCACCTTTATTGATGATTGTTCTGATTATACTTATGTATACTTAATGAAGAATAAAAGTGAAGCACTTGATATGTTTAAGTTGTATGTAACCGAAATTGAGAATCAACTTAGTAAGAAGATCAAGAGACTTTGTAGTGATAGGGGAACTGAATATGACTCTGGTCTATTTAAGGACTTTTATAAAGAATATGGAATTATACATGAAACGGCTGCTCCATATTCTCCTGAAATGAATGGTAAAGCAGAAAGAAAGAATAGAACTCTTACTGAACTTGTCGTTGCAATTATGATGAATTCTGGTGCTGCACCTCACTGGTGGGGGGAAATTTTATTGACTGTTTGCTATGTCCTGAATAGAATCCCCAAGTCAAAATGTAAGATCTCTCCTTACGAGATATTAAAGAAAAGACAACCAAACTTTTCTTATTTGAGAACTTGGGGCTCTCTGGCTTATGTCAGAATTCCGGATCCGAAGCGAGTTAAACTCGCTAGTAGAGCATATGAATGTGTTTTCATTGGATATGCAGCAAACAGTAAAGCATATAGGTTTTATGATCTAATAGTAAAAGTGATCATAGAATCAATGATGTTGAATTCTATGAAGACAAATTTCCCTTCAAATTGAGAAATAGTGGGGGCACACAATCGAGTCACACTCCTGTGATAAGAAGCACAGAATGCAACGACAATATAGAAACAGAACTTCGACGAAGTAAACGAGTAAGAGTCTCTAAAGACTATGGGCCTGACTATGCGGCTTATAATGTAGAAGAAGATCCAATGAATCTTCAAGAAGCCTTGTCCTCTCTGGATGCTGATTTATGGAAAGAGGCTATCAATGATGAGATAGAATCTCTAGAATCCAATAAGACCTGGAACTTAGTAGACTTGCCTCCTGGTTGCAAACCAATTGGTTGTAAATGGGTTTTGAAAAGAAAACTAAAACCTGATGGAACTATTGATAAATACAAGGCTCGCCTTGTTGCCAAGGGTTTTAGACAAAGAGAAAATATAGATTTCTTCGACACCTTTTCTCCTGTCACTAGAATTACATCCATTAGGGTACTTATTTCAATAGCTGCTATTTATAACTAAATAGTACACCAAATGGATGTAAAAACAACTTTTTTAAATGGTGACTTAGAAGAAGAAATCTATATGGAACAACCAAAAAGGTTTGTAATCTATGGACAAGAAAACAAGGTCTGTAAGTTAAATAAATCGTTGTATGGACTAAAACAAGCTCCTAAGCAATGGCATGAAAAATTTGATAACTTAATGATATCAAGTGGGTACAAAGTGAATGAAAGTGACAAATGCGTTTACTATAAATCTGAGAACCGCATTTGCACTATCATATGTCTTTATGTTGACGATCTACTCATATTTGGATCTAACATTCAGACCATTAATGATGTGAAATCATTATTGTGCAACAACTTTGATATGAAAGATCTCGGAGAAGCAAATGTGATCCTTGGCATCAAGATCACGAGATCCGAACAAGGAATTTCTTTGGATCAATCACATTATGTGGAGAAGATCTTAAAGAAATATAATTACTTTGAATGTAAACCTGCATGCACACCATATGATCCAAGTGTGAAACTATTTAAGAACACTGGAGAAAGTGTCAGACAATCAGAGTATGTGAGCATCATTGGCAGTCTAAGGTATGCCACTGATTGTACTAGACCCAAGATTGCATATGTCGTAGGATTGTTATGCAGGTTTACGAGTAGACCGAGTAAAGAGCACTGGAAAGCTATTGAACGAGTCATGAGGTACCTCAAAAGGACCATGGATCTCGGCCTACATTATCATAAGTTTCCTGCTGTACTAGAAGGGTACAGTGATGCAGATTGGAATACTTTGTCAGATGATTCCAAAGCTACTAGTGGCTATATATTTAGCATAGCTGGAGGAGCTGTATCTTGGAAATCAAAGAAACAAACTATTCTAGCTCAGTCCACAATGGAATCTGAGATGATAGCACTAGCCACAGCTAGTGAAGAAGCAAGTTGGTTGAGATGCTTGCTAGCTGAGATCCCTTTATGGGAAAAACCTATGCCAGCTGTGTTGATCCACTGCGATAGTACCGCGGCTATTGCAAAAATTGAGAACCGTTATTATAACGGTAAAAGACGGCAAATAAGAAGGAAGCACAACACTGTTAGAGACTGTATCTCTAAAGGAGCTGTAAGAGTGGATCATATACGCACTGATGAAAATTTAACAGATCCTTTGACGAAAGGATTAGCTAGAGAGAAAGTCCATAATACATCCAAAAGGATGGGACTAATGCCTATAAAGAAATGAGTTGCTCATAATGGTAACCCGACCTAGATGACTGGAGATCCCAAGAAATAGGTTCAATGGGTAATAACAAGTTATGAGTAATATGAGATGATCATGCAAGTAAAGCATGAATCCTG